AGGGCAACACCTGGCAAGCCGCTCGCAAGACCAGGGGTCCGGGAGAGGCGAGCCCGGCTGTCGGGGGCGCTTGTCGCGCTCTCGGACAGAGCGGCCGAAGGAGGCCCGGCACAGATGCTGGTGCTGGCAGCACGATCTCACAGCGGAGCGGACAAGATATGCTCGCATGCTGTGTGATGCCCCTCTCTCGCTCTGTCTCCCTATCAATCTATCTATCTGCCTGTCGCCCTCTCCGTTGTCGCTGCTGGTTGCAGGGAGCAGGCCCCAAGCGGGCCGGCATCCTTGCGTGCGCTGAAAGCGGGGGGTAAAAGGGGGGGGGGGGTTCTTGGCCGGCTGTGGCGCGTGCGCGCGTGGATGTGGTTCATTTTGCGCATTATTGTCAGCGAGATATTGTGTGTCCCGGCCCGGGGTCGGCGATTGCTGCACACACAAAGGGACCGCCGGAAGGGGGCATATCCATTCCGGACCGGGTCCAATGGCTGCCTCTCTCTTTCGCACTCGTTCTCGCTCTCGTTCTCACTCTCCCCCGCCCGGCGAGAGATCTCTTCGTCCACAATGAGGCGCCCGATCGGTGGAACAGTAATGGCATTACGTTCTTCGCGACTTGATCGGCGCCCCATATGGACGGGTCGGCCAAGGGGCGGGGCGGACCAAATCATATGGAATCGCCCGGCCGCGGGTCCGAGAAGGGCGGGAAAAAGCATATGGGGCCGTTTTTCACGCCGCCGCATGGGGGCTCGATATCCCCCTACCCCGGAACCGATGCCGGGCCGGCGCGGGGTGGGGCGGGGCAGGGTGGCGGGGGGGGGGGGGGGCGGGGGGGGGGGGGGGGGGGGGGGGGGGGGGGGGGGGGTCTTTCGGTGCTCTACGGGAGGAATGGCAGGTGGCAGGCCGTGAACCGAGGTCTCCCACGGGGCGCCCGGGCCCCCCTCCACGGGGACTGCCATAGGCCGGGCCCGTTCCCGCGGCTGGTCCTCCGCCCGCCCCCATTGGACAGGGTGCTTTGGCGGGCCGGCCGGCCAGCCGGGGGGGGGCAGGGGTGGTGCCTTCGGGGCGCGGGGAATGTCACCATGGTAATCGGGCGGTGGGAGCGCCGCAGCCGGGGAGGTGTCAAGGTCGTGGCCTCCGCTGCGGGGGGGGGGGGGGCACCTTTGCCGAGGCCAGTGTCCGGGGGAGAAGGAGCCCGAAAGAGGCCATGCCGGAAAAGCCTTCACGGAGAGGGCGAGGCGGAGGCCATCCGCTCCTCTGGCACGGAGGGGCGCCTGTATGGCCCTCGAGAAGTGGGGTCCGAGGGGGAGGGTGACGTTCCCGGCGGCCGGGCGTCGGTGGTTGATCGGTCTCGTCGGGCCCCATGCAATGGGCCGCGGAGGGGGG